GAAGCATCTGGCATTTAATCCTCCTATAGTCAGGAAAGTCTGACTTCCCATTCCTCAGTACAAGGAGCTGAAGGAAATTGCAAACTTCCCAATGTCACTGAATTGGGAGGACCTGAGAACATCAAGTATCTAGAAGTTCACTTCCCATCTCAAACCTGCAGCTCATTCAGCTTCACGTGGTCCATTGAGAGTCAACTTCCAAACATGAACAGAGCCGAAAACTCTGGGCATTGATTGGTTTGCAAAGGCTTTTCTAGAAGGGGATCAGAATATGACTCTTAAAACCTGGGGAAAATAAAACAACTCAGAATGATCACGGCTGAAGCTAAAATGCATTTCAGAAGGAACATCAAGGCCCACACCCCACACACACCCCTCAGCACTTCCCAGTCAGGAATTTCATCCAGTCTCTAGGAGTAGAGGAAGGGAGGGCTTTGCTTGGCAGCGATAGGATTCCATAGAACTAACACAGAAGCTGAGCTGGGGAGAAAAGGGGACTTAAATGCTGCTTGACAGGAGCAATATTGCAGCAGCTGTCAGCAGTCCACGGGAGGAATTGTCAGGGATGCACTTGGGGCTGTTTGGGCTTGCAATGAGTTGAGAACTTTCTGGACAAAGCTGTCCCTCCCAGGCAGCCAAGTGGCTGCAGGGGGACAGTGTCACCAGGGGGTTGTCACCGCAGGGTCAGTGCCCTCCAGGTGTGCTTCAGTGGGATGCCAAGGATGCTGGCTTTGTCCCCAAAGAGCTCAATACTCATTTCTTCAGGAGAACAGAGATTTGTGGGCAGTAGAGGTGTTGGGACAGCTTCCTTCTCCCGACCAGCTGGCTGGGAGCAAGCTGGATGCACTTGGGAAAGGCTGGGTGGATGGTGAGGTGTGGATGGAGGGATCCCCACGGGTCTGCAGAGCAGAAGGCTGGAAGAGAGATGTTTTCAGGGAGCTTTTCTGAGGAGTGGCTTTTCTGAGGGAGCTGTGGGTGCTCAGCCTGGAGAAAAGGAGGCTCAGGGGGGACCTTCTGGCTCTGCAGCTCCCTGACAGGAGGGTGGAGCCAGGGGGGGTCAGGCTCTGCTGCCAGGGAACAAGGACCAGGACAGAGGAGGTTTAGTTTGGCTATTTTGGAAAATTGTTCATGGAAAGGGTTGTCCAGCCCTGGCACAGCTGCCCAGAGCAGTGCTGGAGTCCCCATCCCTGGAGGGATTTCAAAGCCATGTGGCTGTGGCACTTGGGGACATGAGTCAGTGGTGGCCTTGGCAGTGCTGGGGGAACAGCTGGATTTCATGATCATGGAGGGCTTTTACAACCTTAATGATCCTTGGATTGTTCTGGATCGCCTGAAGGAAACCTGTGTGCCCCATTGGTGTTCTGCTCTCTTGCCTTGTGCAGCAGCAGCTGCAGGAGGGATATTGGAGCTGGGATGTGCAGCCGTGCTGGAGAGAGGGCTTCAGCCTGTCCAGCCTGCTGTAGCAAAGGGATTGAGTCAGCTCCATGTGGATTTGGGGTCTGTTTTGTGTGTTCCCTGCCAGGAGATCTGGGAGGGCAGCACACTGGTTAAGAGCTGCCAGAAGGGCATGGAAGGCAGACAAGAATCCTGCCAAAAACCTGTGCCAGCTGGGAGTGGGGGGAATGTGCTGCTGCAATGAGAGGCCTGGTCTGGGTTGATCATCACAGGGGAGCTTGAAGTGACTCCATTCAGGAGCATCCTAAATGCTCCTGGTTTAGGAGCATTTACCTGGGGGGGGAGATAAAACTGAGGGCTCTGCAGGCTGGGAGATGCTGCTGCCACGGGATAAAACAAAGGGGAAGCAGCAGTGTAACATATTTATGGTGAGACATTGGCACAGGTTGCCCAGAGAAGCTCTGGCTGCCCCATCCCTGGAAGTGTTCCAGGCCAGGTTGGATGGGGCTTGGAGCAACCTGGTGTGGTGGAAAGGTGTCCCTGTCCATTGGAATAACATGGTCTTTGAGGTCCCTTCCAACCCAAACTGTTTTGTAGCTCTGTGCTGATATTTGGACAAGACATGAAGTGTAGATTTTATATCACTGGCAGTAAAGTCCAGGCTGATGGTGTTTCTCCACCAGGGAGAGTTCAGGGAAGCCCATGGATGATGGAGATGGTACCCAGCTGGCCTGGCAATCTGTGATTCCAGCAGAACAGTGGTTCTTCCTTGCCATGGGAGGCTCAAAGCCCACCCCACATCACCCTCAGCTTCCTCAGTAATAAATGCTGGTAGCTGGTGTCTGTGTGATGAAAGTGTCAGGAAAGCAGGTGGGATCACAGAGGTTTTTCAGGGATCACAGTCCATGGTTTCCAGGTGCAGGATTCCCAAGCAACTGATGTGGCACAAGCAATTTGTGCCCACACAAGAGTTTGTGCTCAATGTCTCTGGTGTATTTGCTTTCACTTTAAGTCACCTACAGTGACCTTGACCGACTTGCCTGGTTCTGTCTTGGAATGATGACAGTGGAAACATGAACCAGGCCTTGCATTCCATCTGTGCTGTCCTGCCCCGGTCCATGGGCTTAGGGTTTCCCAACAATGACACAGAGCTGGTTCACACATCTGTGGTATTTTCGCACATCTCTGGCAATCCTGCAAGTGTCAGTGGTCTGTTTTCAGCCCTATGGTGTTAATTTTCTGTTGATGGAAAATAGGTGTCAGAGGAAATGGCTTCAAAGCTGAATATTCAGGTCTGGATTGACGGGGAACAGAGGGAACCTGCAGGGCAGGATGGAGAAATGAGGAGGTGAGAGGACATGGGTAAGGAAGGGCTGAGCACACATTTTTCATGGAATCCCAGAATAGTTTGTGTTGGAAATGACCTTAAAACTCATCTTGTTGCAGCCCCCTGCCATGGGCAGGGACACCTTCCACCATCCCAGTTTGCTCCAAGCCCTGTCCAACCTGGCCTTGGACACTTCCAGGGATCCAGGGGCAGCCACAGCTTCTCTGGGCAACCTGTGCCAGGGCCTCAGCAACCTTGCAGGGAAGAATTCCTTCCCAATATCCAATCAAACCCTGCCCTCTGGCAGTGGGAAGCCATCTCCCCTTGTCCTGTCTGTCCAGGCCCTTGTTCCAAGTCCCTCTCCAGCTCTCTTGGAGCCCCTTTAGGCACTGGAAGGGGCTCTCAGGTCTCCCTGGAGGCTGGAGTTGTATTTTAAACTGCTGTCACCCTCCTCGAGGTTTAATGCCATGACATCTTTGAGTCCTTGGAGGCTGCTGCTCTTGCTTCCTTGACAGTAAGCTCTCCCATCTGACCTGGGCTCGTTCCCACATGCCAGGATTGTGTTTATTTTTCCATCCTGTTGTAGCCAAGTTTGTCATTTCATAAACATCCCCCCCCTTCGTCCTGATCCCTGTCCCCTCTGTAAGCCAGGGGAACAGATGGGAGGGCACAGGACCAGGAATGCCTGACACTGCCCAAAGCTGGAAAGGAGGGAACTGGAGATTTGGAGATGAAAAGAAAACATTGATGTCTTTCCAGCTCTGTCTTTGTTCCGCTGTGCCTTCAGGCCTGGATCCCAACACCCCACCTCTGGGAGAAGGAGCCTGCGAGGCTGAGCATGCCTGGCTGTCACTAAATCCTCGCTCTCAGAGCACAGCAGAGGCTCTTTCTCTGGTGGTTTGTGAGCTTGGGGTCATCCCAGAGCAGCCACAGGAAGCTGACAGCGTCTGACAGGGTGTTGGAGGGAATGGCAGTCCATGGACACAGAGGTGTTTGTTGGGGGAAGCAGCTGCAGCTCGTGGTGCAAAGCAACACATCCTCAGTTCCAGCTTTGTCCCTTTGCTGACTGGGGACCAGCCACACTCCAGCACCAAAGAACACCTGAGGAGCAGGAACCTGGTGTTAAACAGGGGATTGGAGTGGGAAGAAGGTGTTTTTCAATCAGTAGGGCTCTTTAACCTCCTCACATTATTTGGCGTGGAATCACAGAATCCCAGATTGGTTTGGGTCGAGAGGGACCTTAAAGATCATCTTGTTCCACCCCCCTGCCATGGGCAGGGCCACCTTCCACCAAAATCAGTTTGTTCAGGAAAATTCAGACCTAATGCATGCACTGGGGTTTGGGATGGATGATCTTTAAGGTCCCTTCCAAGCCTTAACATTCTGTGATTCTCCCTGAAAGTAAAAGTGGCTACTAGGAAGTGGCAAAACCAGCAGCCAGGAGCAGAAAAGATATTGCAGAATTCTTGTCTGATTTTATGGCTACATGTAGATTAGGTCAAGGGTAATCTGCTGCTTTTGTTAATCCTAGAGAGGTTAAATTGTATCAGGACTTCTGCACACAGAGTAAAGAAGAAAACAGCAGTACTTTTAAAAATAGCATCCATTTAAGTTACGTAAATCCTTATAAATACAAGAGAGGAATCAGTTATTCTATAAAAAATAAACCAGAGCATGTGTTCTTGAAGCACCAGGCACTGCATCCTCATGTTAAGGACTTCAGCTACAGAGTCTTTATAAATATACCTGCAAAATTCCTCTTCATTCTGACCATAAACAGGGGTCAAAATGTGCACATTTGTATTTTGCACAGAAACAGAAGGTCTGATACTTGAATCTCAACTGACCGATTGATTTTTGTCAACCTCAACCTGCCCCATCCCTCTGCAGGCACCTTTCAGTGGCACCAAAATGCTGTTGGCATCCTCAAAACTCTTTAGCAAGAACTGAAGCAGTTTGGGTGGGGGTTTGTGTGTGGCACTGTCACTGCTTTCTGCCTGTACATTTAATTTTTGTTTGACTCGAAAAAAAATAAAAAAGGAGGGACAAAACCCAGCCTTAAAGGGACAGCACTGAGGGTCTGTGTGCTTGAAGGTGCCACTCAGAAGTAAGAGAATGGCCTTTGCTGTCCTCTTTGCAGCTGTCTGAGTGGTGTTGGAGTGACTAAATCATGATGCCCCCGAGATGTTTGTGTCACATTAATAATAATTTCCACAATTGGAAATTATGGTTGTGCTGCACCTGCCTGAACAAACACTCGCGTGTGTGTTCGTGTGTGTTTAAGTATAATATATATATTTTTTTTTATTTTTTTCCCAGTTGTGACTCTCCTGTGCCTGTAGCTGACAACAGCCATGTCAGCCCAAGGGGATGGATGGGTTTCTTCCCTTGTTTTCCTGCTCTTCTGTGCTTCCTCCATCCCAAGGCCGGGAATCGCGGGGCTGCGGCAGGAGCCGAGCCCCC